CCAGAATTAGGCCCATTAGGCAGATGGCCAACTTTACCATAAGGCAGTCGGGCTAATCTATGTGAAACTTATGTAGGATTTTGAGAAAAGCAGGGACGAGGTCACGAACGTGTTTTTAACTTTCTTTTTTTTCTAGATTTAACCAAATTTTGAATTTTCAAAAAGTTATAGGTTTCAGCCGCCGTTTGCTTGCTTATAAACAACCCTCAAAAATAAGCGCCATCGGGTGATCATTGCTGTAACTTATTACGTTTGAGAAACACTTCCGCTTTTCTCAAAAGAAGGAAGGGGTCCGTTTTTACTAGGTGGGAGGAGGGGGTCCGATTTTGACTTTTAATAGACCTGAGGTACCTCGTAGTCATAGTGCAGGTGTGGCAGCATTCGAGGTGGTGATGCTCAACCCCCCATTGATAATATCAGCACAGATAAATCTTTGCCAAGCGCTTCTACGGAATTCGGTAATCCCTTCTAGAAGATCGAACGGACGTCAGAATAGCATATAGGCCGAATATCAGATGTAATGATCATAGAAACTAGGGAAGTTTACAGCTGCGTAACTAGAGAACTAAGAACGGAGATTACTCTAACCTAAGTAATGGGCCCCGTTATTGCGTGATTTTTCACCACTTAGTTAAATTTGTCTTTTTCAATTCAATTTTCATGTTATTCTGAGCAGTTGGTTTATCAAAAATTCCCCTCTCTTACTGTGGCGTTCCCTCAGTTCTGCTCCTTATTGCTGCAGTGATTTCCTATGCTTTGCAGATGGCCGAATACTTTACCAGCTCCTATTTTATGGCACTACTGCACAATCAAGCAGATATTGCCCTACACGCATTATCTGTTCTTCCTGAGCTTGTTGTCGTCGGCCGTTGTGAGTTCCTTACTACTTCGTTCGAAAACTTTTCAAGGAAATTAATTATTAGCACGTTTGGGCCAGTCATCAGATTTTTTATTTAAATAATTGCTTAGGCTCCGTTGTTAGCTTCTACAACATGTTTTATAGCGATCGCACCACTGCTACTGAACGCAGCAACAACTACGGTGCAGCGATGGCAGACCCAAGCTGCTGTTGCGGATCTCTGTCGAGCTATCGCAGCATTTCATTCCTCGTCTCCGGAAGAAGTTAGCACTCCCAGCAGTCCACCAACATCCAGCTAATTCTCGTACGGCAGAAGTTATTATTGCATTCGGTTCAAAGTAATTTCTCAAACC